TCTAAGATGACTTGTTCACTGGGAACATATGGTTGTAAATTGATGTTAACTTCTTTATTAACTCTTTCTCTCCGTAATTATTTTCCTCGTTCCGATAGAATTATTTATTTGTATTTCAGTATCCTGTTAGGATTAAAATTCAATAACCTTTTTGTTTGTTATCAGAAAATGTTATATTTAGTATCAAATTATAGGGGAATGCATGCTATTTTTACACAACAATAATTAAAGTTTATAAATCCAAAAATACAATTCTGTTTAATGGGGTTGGCATCATCAATTAGGAGAAAAAGAGTTAATGGCATCAATGAAGAAGAAGAAGAAGTTAGTGATTGGTTGGTAGCTCTGCATTGAAATTCCAATAGGGTCTAGCGTAATGCTAATGTGAATAGGAAGTGGTCACAGAGTTTTAAAAGAGTAAAACATGTTTTTGTAGTGAGTTAGATTTTGTTTAAGTATCAGTTTATTTCATTACTATTAGATTACATTACATTTCTTTAGGGCCTCGTTCGTTTTTCTCAGTTCCTTGCGACCTTTATCTTTAACCTCCAGCCTCTGGTCCTGTTGATCTGTTGCTGCATGCTACTGGTGATCTGTTCCAGCAAGTTAGGTTCGACTTCAAAAAGATATGTGTCCGAATCTTCTTTTTCTTTCAAAATGTCTTCTCGGAGGCGTGCTTGTAACTTTTCCTTGTTTCTACATGCCTTCAGCCCTCGTTCACGGAGTTCTTGCTTCAGTTCTCTGAATTTAAGTTCGTACAGCAGTTTCAGACGAGCCATAGTAGATCCAATCCGATTCCGATCCGATCCCACTTCTGACACCAGTTGTTACAAATCTCACTATGCAGGCTCTCTGCAAACTGCACCATACACCACCAACTTAAAGAACTTGACAACTCAGGGCTCCAAAGTAACGTAACACTTTAATAGTTGAATAAATAACAGCCAATACTGTAAAATTGGCAACACGTACACTTTACAAATATCTGTCCGATAACACCGTATCGCCGTATCAACTCTTGCACTGGCCTCTCCGTCTCGTTCCAGGCTTGCACTGGGTTCAACAGTTCAGGACCGACTTCACACACTAGGCTCGTTGTGTTGGACTCGATCACAGACTAAGATCAAGACGCCGTTCATCTCAACTGTACTTGATAGTACTCCGCACTGAACCGTCGTAATGCACTGAACCGTCGTAATGCTCGTACAGAACCACACAGCTGAACTGTGCTGTAGTCGACCGTGTTCTGAACTCCTGTCGTGAACCTCCTTTCTGAACCTTGCTGTATGGAGCCCCTTTTCTCGACCGTCTTGACTGCGACACCTCCGCTCTTGTATAGGGTCTCTAATGGCCTTCTAGAACCGGACGGAATATCGCTCGACGTTTCTAGCTTCGTCACATGACTACATTCCTCGTGATGCTCCTGAGCTCTGTTCACGACGGCGATCCTTCCCGAACCGTCCTGTTGACACTCGACTCGTTGACCGCTCGTCTAGCACTGGCCTGGGGCAATTTGCGTCGGCTGACTACACTCACACCACTACCCCCATCTGTGCCACCACCAGGTTTATAACAATAATAAACATACAATATGACTGTATCATTTTGTCACATACCTTCATGGAGCTACAAGTCAACAATGGACAACAACATTGGATACAAAATGTTAGTTGGAACAGCCAGGGGGGCTTAGTGGTAAAGTGCTGGCTTCCTACCTTAAGGGGTCCTGTGTTCCAATTTCGGTGAAGACTGGGATTTTGAATTTTGGGGGGGGGGGGGGGCGGACGCCCCTGAGTCTACCCAACTCTAATGGGTACCTGTTGGCCATATGACACCCACATTAAACAGATTACCATTAGAACATCTGACCCATAGATCACAGGGTCTAATAGGCTACTTTACTTTTTAAGACCATCCAGAATACTTTTACGACTTTAAGCAAAGGCCTGAAAAATATTTGTAGAATGATGGGATTGGGAAAGAGCTAAACATAAGGTTTGGTTTAACAGGAGTAAGAGTGTATCTTGACACCAAGTATTTTAAGTAATCTCTTTTTGTTTTAAACATTGATGGATCATTGAAGATCTTTGTTATTTATATCGAGAGTTATCACCATATATATTTTCATATCCTGCTTATACCATGTGACTTGTGCTGGTGTCATGTGACTTGTGTTTGTGTCATGTGACTGATATCCCATGACCAGTCTCTAAAGTTCATCCAGTCTCCGGAGTTTAAGCCTTACATTATCTTCATTGCTGCACCAAGTGTGGAGGCCCTGAAGGTTATGTACAACGAAGGGAAAAAGGTCAACAACAATGTAAGTCTTTAGCACATTCAGTTGAATAACTTTCAGATAGTTAGAGATATTTATAGGAAAACAGAGAATAGTTTTAACTAAATTTATAAAGTGCTGTTAGCAAACATAATGTAGGCTCAGGGAACTATGAAAACATAACAGACATAAACACAGTAGTTGAAATGACAAACTAATGTTTTTTTATCAAAATATATTCTTCGGTGTATTGGCTAGTTATGGTTTTTTGACGATGTGTTTTTAAAAATTAAGTTCACATATTGTATTCACATAGATTTGAACCATTTAACCTTTACCATTCTTTAATATTTTTTAAGGAGTTGGCAGCCACGCCATGCACTGCAGTCTTTTATCTTTCCATTTGGAAAGTTAGCTATGAAATTATCAATTATTTTTAGTCTCTGGTCGGACACCCCTCCTCCTTCCACACTGTCTCTTAACCTGTGATAAACAATCTTACTCAATGCATTTTATTATTTTGGAATAACTGGCTATCAAAATTTAATGATTGTCAATTACTTTCTGCTGTATAAAACAGTGCTTTAAAATTTAGGAATCAGGAAGTGGAACAAAAAGTTTGATATTCAACTTAAATTTTGGTCCTAATTAGTATGGCCCACTGGGTGGGACATTCAACCAGAATGGGGGGAAAAAATGCCCCCCCCACCTTTCCAGTGAGACATTTGACTGGAAAGGGTTAAAAAAAGAGATTCAATAGTTGTATGGGACATCTAGATAATCCACTGATATGAATTATAGTTAGGTGGGAGTTTATGTAACAGGTAATATTTGTGTATGACTTAGTCACAAGCATCTATTTGCTTTTTTATCTAGATTATTTTGCTTAAAAAATAAAGCTATCAATTATTTCTGCTTACATTTATGATCCATCACCAAATGGATAATAATCTGACTCGTAGTCACTGAGACTCAAGTAAAACAATGTTACCATAAGTGTTTTGCATTTTCAGACCAAGCCAACAGGAGGTCGCTCTGAACTTTTTCTGGTCAGTATGATGAACAGCTCAGTTCTTAAAAGTTTCTTTTCTTTTGTTTTTTACAAAGTTTATATCAACTCTGTCTTGTAAAAATTTTGTACATGCTATTTCTCCAACACCCAATCTCGGATCAAGCTGAAATTTTGCACAATTATTTCTTTAACCTGACAACAAGATTCGAAAAAAACAACAAATTAGTTAGTTAACTATTGGTTATTTTTTTATTTTGTTTGGTATCTAATTAAATATTAGTAATTAATAATTTATTTGATATCTTGAACATAGGAAAGAAATTGTATTCAACTGAAAAAGTTGAGTTAGTCCCCTTTATTGTTTGTAGAAAGAAAATATTGTAAACATCTATAAAACCTATTTTCATAAGCAGCTTCCTAACTCAGTTGTTACTGTATTAGGTTGAGGAGGCCATATCCTTGGAGTTAGAGTACAGGTGGCTCACTTTTTAAAAAAAATTAATACATTTAAAAAGCAATCACCCTGATACCCCTTTCTTTCTTCCCCCAATCATTTTCAACCTGGTCCAGACAAGTGATAGGCTCATAGCGTATTGAGGTAGCTTAAAGCATGAAATAGCGCTAAACAAATACAATTGGTAAAAATATTTCTAATTGCACAGATTTATTATTGTTAGACAGTTAGTCTAGATCTATTACAAATTTAATGACATGACTGATCCAAACTAATTGATACAACTACACTTGTTATTAGCTTTTTTTTTTTTAAAGTATTTATTTGTATATTGATTGTTTCTTGTTGTAAACATAATCTAATTAAACAATTATTTTTTTTCTGGAGTATACTGGATTTTTTTAATGGGTTCAACTGTTATTTTCTGGGTTAAACTATTACTTTAACAGACTTCACTGTTAATTCAATTGTTTTTATTTGAAATAAACAGGAAGAAAAATTTATTGCAACTGTCAAAGAGAGTAAAGAAATGGAGAAGACGTACAAAGGATTGTTTGATGAGGTCATCGTCAACGATGACTTTGAGAACACCTACAACACAATCTGTGACATGATGATCCAATTGGAGAAACAGATGAAGTGGGTGCCCGTGGAGTGGAATGACTAGCCAATATTTATATGAGTTTTTCTGGGTTTAAAATCTGTTGACATGTAATTTTGATTGTTAATGCTGTGGACCTTAGGTAAAGAATTGTTTAATTAATGGCTTTGATGTTGTGACTTGGACTTTATAGTTTGAACATGGGGATGTGGAGCCATTGAAACTTTCAGTCCAATGGCCATTCAATTTTCTGGACTGTCTGAAATGTCATTGTCAGTTTGTCAGATGGTTTTTTGGCTCCTTGCCACTGATATTGTTGATTGTGTCATTTTTGAGGAGGGTCTGTTGTGTGTTGAGATTTGGTCCTAGGGGCTGAAGTAGACTCACACATTTTATGACTGAAATAGACAGACACATTTTATGACTGAAATAGACGGATACGTTTTATGACTGAAATAGACAGATTAAAAAGAAGACTTCGTATTGTTATTATTCTTGTATCAGTAACATTCCTGGCAGACACGGCTGTTACAATTATATTATAAATAAAAATATATAAGGCAGCTTTCTTCTTGTCCTAGGGCAAGGCTAATATTGCTTTTTATTGTGTAACCTTTAACCTTTGTATACCATTTTACCTTGACAGTAAATGTTTTCATTTCATGTGTTTGTGTTAGAAGATAAAAAGTGGGGTTTATAAATTGTCAAGTTTTTACCATTCCTTGATTTTTTTCCTTGATCAAATGTAATGCTTTTAACATTCCATAATACTTTGTTTATAAATCCGTCATATTCACCATTGCCTTATTTATGTATCATTGAAGACATTCATAATGAAAGGGTAATTTGTTGTCTGAAAATATATTTGATCTACTCACAACCTACCTGGCATGTTAGATCTGAACAAGAGAAAGAATAGAGTTGTGTCTGTGCCAGGTACTACAAAGATGTGAAAGAATCTTTCCATTAACTTTATTATATTTAATCAGTGTGTTTTCTTTTTGTGTTTTGCGGATGTCTGCGTTGGTCAGAGATACATCTGTGTTGGAAAATGTTATCTGATGAAATATCTATAGACTCTTTGATGTATTCAATATTGTAAGAATGTGCCAAAAGTTATGACAGCAGAGTTATTAAATATGTTTAAATGCCAGTTTGCAGGAGTCTTGATGACTTTTGGCTAGTAAGTACTCTGTATTGCAATAATTAGTTTTTTAATTTTTTTTATACAAATTAAAACTACTTTTATCTTTTTGACTACTTTGTACTGTATGGGATATGTTATGCTGCATTCTGTTTGTAAGGTGTAACCTCAGGATTAAAGAAGATTATTGTTGTGAACCTGGTTGACTTATTTTTTCCTTGCTATGGAGTGATAGGCAGCAAAGAATTTCCAGTAACCCTCCCTGACCTGGACGAACGAGTCACTTAGTCCATGCCAGGTTTTGCCTGTGGCCTTAACTTTTTCCATTTCTCTGGCCATCTTCTTTCAAGCAACCTCTTCTTCTTCTTTCAAGCAACCTCTTCTTCTTCTTATAAAGCTCATTTCTGAATCATGTTTTCAAGTCTGCTTCTGGACATTTAAGGGAGCGGCACAATTATCATATTTTTATTCTCACTATCATTCAGCTATCATTCACTATCATTTGAGCATTCAGTTAAGTGTTGGATGCACTAACTTCATTCTAGGCGGTGGTTAGAAATTAAAGAAAACAACAACACTGCCTTCCCAGAATTTCCTGTTGGCAGCCTTGACAAGAATGCACACTTAGATCACTTTGAAATCATATTGTTTTGTCCACAAGATGAAGACTTGAGTTTGTTGTAATGTATACTATTGATCATGACTAACATTCCAATGAATTGTTTTATACTCACATTTTTATTCTCCAGGATCTTTACCAATTTAATTATTTGCATTTCTTGGAATATATTTTTGTTTTTTTATACCATCTTACATTTAGACCTCATATATTTCTGAGTCAATAATAAAGTCACTACGATTGTACATGCTGTTGATTCATTTGCTTCTTTTTACTCACTCTGTCTGTGTGGTACAATTTCCCCATTATTTCCCATTCTCTGATCAAATTGAAACCTAGCACAATTATTCATTGTTCCAAATCAATAAATATGAAAGCAATTAATTAATTAGTGGTAATTAATTTAGTTTGATATTGATAAAGGGAAATAACTCTTACAATACTGATAGCTATGGCTATAATATACAGTTCTTCCTCTATATAAGCTTTGTTGTTTAAAAAAGTATTTTTTGATATATTTTGTTTGTTTTACAGTTTCTTAAAAAAAAAAAAAAAGATTATTATATCCTGGTCAGACTTAGTCTCTACCTCTTGCTGGATAGCAGGGGAAGGAAGTGGGCTGGATTTGAACTTGAGACCACCATATAGGCAGTTAGAAAGTGCTTACCACACATCCAGGAAGCCACCTGTTTTCTTGTGTTTGAAATCAATCACCTGGCTCTGTCTAGCAGATACATTCACTTTGCAATCAATACTTTGAACATCTTGGGTTTTCAGTTTATTGCTATGATAATTAGCACCTATTGAAGCAATATATGTTTTTATTACTGTGATTCTTCTCATTACGGCAACCAAGGAGATAACTTGTAACACTTGAAACTAGTTATAGACCATGACATTAATGTCACGTGATGGATGGATAGATCTAATAATAGATTTCACTCCCTCGGCAGCATAGTGAAGTATTCAGTCATGATTTGTTTGGGTTTGTTGCCACTAAAACTTATCACCTCAGATTTTGATGACGCCACACCTTGTGATGAACAGCCGCCCAGTGAGGTCCGCCTTCAAGTTCACCAAGTACACTGATAGCTGGCCCCGGGTTCGTTTTCCCTGCCTCAACGCAGCTCTTAGGGGTGGAAACGACCTTTTGAGGAAAAGATAAGGTTAAACGGGTAGCAAAGCAAGACTTGTGGGAGTGTCCGAGTGAGTGCGGTAGCTTTCCCATTGCGTAGGCGTAAGAGAGCTTCCAAAATCCAGGCGCCGTTCCTCAAGGGAGCATTTCATCAATGGCGAGTCCTGAACGGGTTATCTTGGTAAACTATAAGAAAATGGCGGGGGTTCCTGGTGTGCTCGGCCTTCGACCACTTATCTTAGTACCTGCGTCCGGAGTGTCCGACCCATTGGAAATAGCGCGGTTGAATAATGGACATTAGATTGACCTCTTCCTGATAGAGCTCTTTGTTCAACCAGGCTTGCATGTCTAAGAGTTTCGGATCAACTCTTTTTGACAGTAAAACGTCGATAGCCACGAGAATCTAGACCAGAAGTTCACAGTCAGAAGCTCAACACTCTCGCTCGCACATGATCACTATTTCCACGATTGGATGGGCTGCCTGGTCATGTGGTACGGGCTCTGGACTGTCGTCTGGGTGGACTTAGGTTCGAACAGCCACCGCGCCTCCAAATGAAGTATTAGAGCATATCAAGCTATTTACTATAACTGCATTGGAGTCGTCTTCGTTAATAATCCTTCCACTTTATGCACGCTTTCCGACTTATGATACTGTCCACCACAATATGAGGCCTACATTGTGTTTGGTAACACTCCAATACAGACTAGAGCTTGTAATAAAGTGTCATCTGGTGAAACATCTACACGTCTGGCTCATTGACACATGCGCAAGTGTCATGGCTTCGTGGTCTAAAAATAACCTTAACTTATAATCTGCTATGCAAACATTCAATTAGACCAATATTTACACAGACTTTAAAAATACAAATTCCAAGTCGGATGTGTTTGTGAGACTTGGGATTGAAAACTACACGTGACATAACACGTGATCTAACAACAACGTGATTTACAAATCAAGATTCTAGGACCTTCATTTTTTGTTTCTTTTTTTTTTTTTTTGATTAAAATCTTTAGAATCTACGGAACCTTCTCAGTCTGCAAAACCTACTCAGTCAACTAAATCTACTTTCACCTTCACATATCCCTTAGCCTGTTGGACCATTCGGACACCGCATGGTCTGCTAAGCCTACTCAGTCTGCTAAACCTGCTCAGTCTAGAATCTAGTCAATGGAAACCAACTGTGGCTACTGAGTGTGTTCTGTTTCTACTCATCTTGTAGATTACAAACATTCCTTCAAAAGAGAAGATAAGTATGTCCTACGCGTCACCAGTGGCGATCTGGCTATATGAGAATGGACCTCATTCACTAATCGTAAACAAACAACATTTAGTCACGTGATCTTATTGATAAAACAACGATAAAAATGGTCACGTGACAACCATCATGAAGTAAACATGAGATCGTAAATTGTATAGAAGAAATAGAGCACCACGTGGCTAAATGTTGTTTACGATTGGTGAATGAGGTCCATTCGGGCTAAAGCCCCGTGGGCCAGCACCCAAATGGGCCGCTGTGGTCGACGCCTAATAGGCTTCATGAAAGGTAGTTAGGCTCGTGAAAGATTTTATACTCTCTTATAAAAGGCTCCCAACGGGCCAACAAGCGTCATAATTGGTCCACGCCTGACCTTCTATGAAACATCTTTTACAGACGTTTATAGTCAGTGGCGTAGCAACCATAGACATGCACGACTAGATCGACACATGAAATGCGTAGGACGTAATTGTCTTTTTTTTTAATGTAACGCCTGTAATCTAGAAAAATAAGAAGATTGCTTAAAATGACGCGGTTAGCGCATGACCATGATATGGAACGCAGTTTGCGCGATCTTTATGTTAATGCCAGGACCGATTATAACACCCATCACTTCCCTGCGCGTAACTATGTGTTAATCTAGTCGTGCATGTTAGAGGCTTAAAACTCTGCTAAGTTGTTGGTTTTCCTGGCTGATTCAGATAGCCCGTTCCATATTTTAATGGCTACGCCCGTTTCATATTTTAATGGCACTAGGGAAGAAAAAAACACTTGTACAAATCTGTCCTAGATTATGGAATAAAAAATGTGCCTTTCTACAGAGACATAGGCATAGACAAATAAAAAAACCTTCATATTTATAGAAAGAGGACAGGAAAGTGTTTTCATTTCATTACGTCACATCCGGACATTTTCACGACAGCAATAAACAATGACGTAATTCTTAAACATAATGTCCCATCATTCATTTATTAGTCTATAAGGCTTATGATTGATGTCTGCTGAAGACATCGACAACTCGCCTTAGGTATATTCAAGTTATTACAGAGTTAAGCTGTAAACAGTTCTGGTTGTGTTTTTTCTCCTTAAGTAGTTACGCAATTATTCCCCTTGTGTTTATATGTAGGCCCTATAATTCTTATATAACATCAAAATGAAAAGCGTTTACTGTTTAAAATAGGCCTGGTTTTAAACAGCGCGACCATAGATTATAATCAGGGGCGGACTGGCTATATGGGCATTCGGATAAATGCCCGGAGGGCCGGTACCCGATTGAGCGGCAGGGCCAGCTATAAGGCCTCATGAACGTCACTAAAGAAAGTATTAAATTGTTGTAAAAGGAGCCCTCTGAGCGTCGTCTTTAAAACAAAAGAAAACAAAAAAAAAACCTTTAGCAGACACTACAGTGTAATGCTAATTTTCCGGTAGGACGTAGGTACTCATCTTTTTTGAAGTAACAACTGTAGGCCTATTTTATAAAATAAGATAATATAATAGCCTACACCTGTAGACAGTGCTACTATAGGCTTCATCCTTTAAGAGCCTACACAGCATGTCTCCTATATGTCTTAACTCTTTTTCTCCTAATTGACGATACCATTATATAGAAAGAGCATGCATTCCCCTTTAACTCTATACCAAATAAAACACTTTCTGGTAACAAACGCGAAAGTTATTCAAACTTAACCATAACGGGGGGAAAAATACTAATGACAAAATGAAGAATTCCGTCGGAACGTGGAAAATAATTACGGAGAAAAAGAGTTAAAAAGATAAAAGAGTTCAATGTGTGCATGCGTTAAATTATCGATACTTTATCAAACTTAATAAAATGATAGTTATAGGCCGAATGGTAAAAAATGACCGGGCCGATTTTGACCCCCCAGCCCGCCCCTGACTATAACCATCTTATATTATATAATAAACTGGTAGTCTATGAGTGCGACCAATGAATAAGAAAATATCTAGGCTACTACGCGTGAGATTATGGTGGACTCATTTATACTGAGTAACTTTTTGGGGGGTTAATAAATGGAAGACATGTGTAAAACAATCTTTGATTGGTCTGTGGTCAATAGTTAGATTTTTTTTATTGGTTTAGTCGACATGATGTCAATATTCACGAGACATCGATCTATTGAGTCTGTGCTGTACACGAGAGCAGGTGAGGCTATTAATAAAGATCAGACCCGAGGAAATCAATATTGATAGCATAGATTTTACCCATAACAATTATTGAGTCTGCAGCACTTAAAACTCTGAGCATGGTTACATCGTATTGTTTTTGATTGGGCGACTTTTAGAATTGGACCAGTTGATTTTATAGCCTTCAATAAAAATCTGCAAGTGACGTTTTGACGCCGGCGATTTTAGCGCAATAAGTTCAGAAGATAATAACAAAAAAAAATTTGTATAATTAACATCAATGCTCGCGTCGCTATAGTTACGGATAGTACATATTATACAATCTTAACATCCCTTCCCTCTAAAAGTAATAATAATGGTTTTGCTTATTGCAGGTCATGAGTCCTACCTGAAACCACGATAATTACAAACTTTCTCTCCATTAATTAGAGACCAGGTGTGATATTTGGCCTATCTATATATAATTATATAGTGTTGTTTTTTTTTTGTAAAAAAAAAAAATAGGTGCCTGTACTCAGTGATGGATTGTGTAACTTTTAACTACTAATAAATTAAAAATAAACTTTAAAATACAAGAAAAGTAACAAAATTTTGACCTACATTGAAAAGTGTACCGATACGCGTACCGGTGCGTACCGTCACAAAAAAGCACTGTATATATATACCTTTGTATATATATATATATATATATATATATATATATATATATA